CCATCCTCCTTTCTCTCCCCCACACTGCCGGCCGGAGCATCCGCGTCAAGTTGCAGAGCAGTCTCCAACATTTCTGCCCACGCTTCCGGCGGGTCCATCACGGGAAATGTTTGTTCCACCCACACAAAATGAAATGACCGCACACTTTCAAGCATTCCTGTAAAAACACCATGTTCATCAACAGGACGAACAAAAATGGAACGCGCCATGTTGCGTTCCACTGCCGGTGCGGGCCAACGCACTGAAAATGTTGCACGGCCACCATGCAATGTTAGTGAAATGCGACGGAGCGCACACCATAGAGTCGCTCGAGATCCACGACGCTCAAAAAGGCGTCGATCTGCTGCAATGACAAGTGAGTCAATCGGGCTGTTCTGGCGCCACACTTCACACGGTGTTGCCGTGAGGCCTGTGACAATCCGTGGCCGCGGCGAGTAAAAGTTGTAAATATGCAAAGCCTCCCGAACTTTATTCTCGTATTTGGAAAGTGTGAGGGGTGTGAAGAAGTATTCCCCCTGGCTCTTACTCTCCGCACCGTAAATGTCGCCCTCGTTAAAGCTCTTAGAATGACCACTGCTACCCAATGCAGCCTGCGAATTCAAAGGTGCGTGCGACACGCGAGGGAAGGCGACATATGTTTGCATTTCGTCACAAAAGGAGAGCACCGTGCCGTCTCCAAAGACAAAGTCAGCGGAGTTGTCCGTCCACGCACATGCCCGAACGACACGATCGGCAATCGCCACCTCGTTGTACACGGACACCGCCGAGGGCGTCAATCGCGAACGAGACGGCAAGGCGTCGTACGTGAAGTGCGGGGACCGCAACATCGGCCCCTGCCAAGACATATTCCTCACTCCTTCTCACCCTGTGTGTGTGTGTGTGCGCTGCGTCACCTGAAGAACAATCAGAAAAGAGGCCGAACGATCAAAGCACCCAAAAGATAAAAACGCAGAAACAAATTAAAGAGTAAAGAATGCCCAATGGATCCAAAAACTCAAAGATAAGAATAGAAACAGAGAAAGTGAAAGTGAGGGGTGCTGGCCTAAAAACACGATACAGCTTTCTCATTGCATTTAATGCGTCATGTCTTTGCACTTCGGGTCATCTTATTGATATCGATACAAGTAAAAAAAAAAAAGAAAAAAAAAACAAATACATTCAAAACAACAAGAAGAAAAAACACAAATAATAATAATAATAATAATAATAATAATAATATATAGCTAAAGCCAAATTTTTACACCACCTGTTATCATAGAGAAAGGGTATTCACCAGATATCCGTAAAGCTCCATTCCCCCAAGCTCCAGGTGATACTTGCCAACAGCATCTGGACCCGCAAGCTCTAGTGCAATGTATCGAAATGCACATCCCAAAGCAGAAGCAGAATGACGTGTAGTCTTTACCTGAGAATAGACCTGCTCTTCGTCAATGGTGAAAGATGCTACGTTAAAAGGTGACCTCCCAAGCATATTATTACGTCTCTGCTCATCCAATACAACCCATCGCACTCTGTCACGACTCCCAAGCAAACGCCATGAGCGTAGTGCTGCGTGCTCCGTCGCATGTCCATGACGGAGTGCATAAGCTGAGCATTCTACCCACCGTCTGTCGCCAAAATCAATTTCTATTCGAGCACCCTCCTGTGAAGCTGTGCGGAAACATTGCGTCTGCTGCAGTACAGCAGCCGTGGTGCGAGTCGCGTCAACAGCATTGCAAAGAGATGAGAGTTCTCCAAGCACAACCGGAGCGTCGCAGTAAATGCGCACGGCATCACTTTCCACCGGGTTAGAAAAGGGCTTTTTGCCACCCGTAGTAGCAATGTAGTGGAGAATGCCATCGTGCAATATCATAGACGCATTTTCCTGCACCACGGACTCGCATTTCTCCTTTCCTCTCCCCAACGGAAGGTAAATAGAATTGTCTGCAATAGGGATTGTAAGTGCAGAAGGGAAAAAAAAAGATGCCACATCTCGCACAAGAGTTAAGTGCCGATCAGTGACAATAGTTGCCGATGTAACATTGTAACAATGCAGTTCGGGCACCTCAAAAAAGGCAGACTGTCTGAGAAGTTCCGTCACTTGCCGTTGAGCCTCGGCACGTTCAATGACATCACGCTTGTGTTCTTCCAACTGTGACTTCTGCGTCTCCAGCAGTTTCTTCTGAGTCTCAATGCTCTCCTGCAGCTTCTCGATCTGGGTACGTTGAAGGGCACAGTCGTCTCGCAGCATCTTGATGAGCTCCTCTTCACGCTGTTGGATCTGCCGCACAAGTTTTTTTGACTCCCCGTGAAGACGACTGATCGTGTCCTCCTCTCGCACATTCAGCAACAAGAGATGATCCTTCACAGCCGCGTGCAACTCACGCAGATCTGCTAAACGCTTCTCCGCTCGTTCCGTCGTCTCTACCGCATGGTGCTTAATTTGGTTCCAAGCCTTATCTTCAAGGGCCCAAGTGCGATCCTCCTGCATCGCTTTAAGATGTTCCTTCCAATGTTTCCCCCTTCCTAACAATCCGGGTATGTTGTATAAATAATAAAAACCTCTTTCTCCAACTATCGGCCTTCCTCGCTTATTGTGATACTTGCCCTCTCGTGGTGGTGGTGGTGTGCACCCTCACACTAGTACAGTTCAAAGATAAGAAAAGAAACATAAATGTACCTTTAGACATGCGTGCATCCATACAAACAAAAAAAAAAGAAAAAGCCACCACACAAGCAAATACATGAGCAGGCAAAGAAAAAAAAATTTTTTAGGTGCATACATATACGCACGTATGAGATACGTACATAAATGATAAACACAACAAATAAAGAAATATATGAGGTGTATATACCTGTATATAAATTCTTACGGGTGAAGCGGAAGCCAGCATACCCTTCCCTTTCTTTTCGCCTGGTCTTATGATTATCCAACCCCTTTTATCTCGCGTTGTTTTTCTGTTTCCGAATCATTACTATTCAGTTGTTTGATAGTTTCGCCGTTGTCGTCCTTGGGTGGTCGAGAAAAGTAAAGAACTCCTGGTAATTTTACGGTTGGCTGCCTCAGCGTGGTACGCCAGTGTCAATTGCCCCGTATTGTCGGGGGAGGAAGCCAGGAGCCAGCAATGTTTTCTTCACGGGATTCTTGGCACAGGGCTGACGGCATCAACCAGTCGCGTCTTGCAGGGGCACAGTTGTAACAGCATGAGGTCTGAAGGGCACATATTACCGTACGGAGTGCGGGCCATCAAAATCATTTAAAAAAAAAGAAACAAAAAAAAAACACAAGAAACAACAAGAAGGCGGAGGGGGTGAAGGGCTTTGTTTTACCGCAATATATATTCGCCCAAGCCGACGGTTGAAAACTGTTAAAAAGCCGCAACACGTCCATTTAAAGTCCAAAAATGATCATACCTTTCAAATCCCACAGCGAGTGTATATATACACACACACACAACAATTGGCGACACACAAAGTGGCACCACCGGAATGAGCCCGACAGATTGTTTTCCTTCTTTCCTTTGCTCCTCCCAGAAGACGTGCAACAGGCCGTTGCGGCAACCACGTCATTTGCACGTGTGTCTCTGTGTTGTTGTTGTTTTTCTCCTCTGTTCATCCAAAACTCACTTTTTTTTTTCTTTTTTTTTTTTTTTTTTGAGGGGGGG